AGTATGGGGGCTGCGTCATCTTGCATCTGGAAAGAACTATTAATGAACATTTTGTATGTGCTCAGATGGAGGTGGGTAAATACCTTAATCCTCTCAGTCACAAACTTGGCCTATAAATGTGTGAATCAAACTCATGAAAGCAACTTTTGCATAATTAAGAAATCAAGTATGCCACAGGATGCCAGGAATAAGCCCTTTTATTTGGCTAAAGGTTGTGCAACCTGGTGAACTGTTGGGAACTGTTTCCCAGACTGGATTTTCAAATCCTATTTATTTAGTACTTTCAAAGGAACAAAGCCATGCTCCCCCTGCCCCCATCTAGAATCTAGTATACCAGTGATATTTTGGATCTTCGTAACAAAATATGACAGAACACATGCATTACACAAAGCTTCAGTCTTGAGTCTTCTGTGTGGAGAGTCTCTGATAGAACCTTAGTATAGTTGGCATGTACTGATTGTATCTGTGTTCTAGTGAAGGCAAGATTATATACACCCCATGGGCTCAAATTTTTACCTAGAAGCTAGATCAGCTCTACAAAGAGATACGCACATTTGGAGAAGTGATTTAATTGAATTTAATTAACCTTTGAGATTTTTCTCCACTTAATAATCCGGTACTAATAAACCTCTGTATTGAGAATGCTATCATTTAGCTGTGAAGCTCAAAAGCAGCACTGTATCAACTACAAAAATTCAGATTTGTATTATAGTTGTTGGGTTGAACAACATGAAACTATTAGGTTGTTTGTTGATGCTGTTGTTTTCAAATCTATAGAGCTGGTAATTTTAACAAATATTCTGAAGTGGGTGGCTTTATCACCTAACTTAGAGGTGTGGTTTTAACGATTTGTGTCACTTTGGATAGCTGTGTCCTTTGCTCTCTTCTTAATTCATTAGTAATGTTGAAGCTCCAGCTGCTTCTTAGTTAGATACATAAAGCTGGGAGAGGGGCATCCCAATAAAAAGACATGACTTGAAATTGAAAGAGCAAAAATAAAGACCAAGTGGCTGGCAACCCCTGCAATATGGAAGGGATGTTCTCTGCAGTGTTCTGACTGCTCCAGCTTTCTCCTGCTGCCTCCATAATGATGGATCTGACAAAGAGCTTTGGTTCTAAAAGGCTTCTAGCCTTAGCTGTTTTGCAGGCTTGCTTGGTCTGCCCAGCCTTGGTGTGAGGGGCTGGAGCCAATCTTGATGATCTGGCTCATAAGCAGCATCCTCTGGCTTCTGCTTACCATGGAACCATTATTAAGACATCACTATAGAAGGGGATCTTAGAGTGTCACAGGGTTTATTGTAAGTGAATGGAATCTATGTCACAGAGGGAACTGACAGCTAGGCAAAAAATATAAGAAAGTGATACTGTCCTGAGAACAGCAGAGGCAAGGAGGTCAAATTATAGAAAAAAAAAAAAAAAAACAAACAAGAAGCAAAAAAACCAAGTCACACAGGCCTTTAAAAGTTAAGGCTTGCTAAAACAAATGTCAAATAACTTCAGCCTAGCATTAAGAACCAATGCCATTGGACTAGCAAGGGAGTGGAATTGAGCAAAAATACTGGGTCCAATTTGCCCTCTCACCAAATCTGAAATTTAGTAAATATAATTGCCTATATTTATACCACTATGGTATGCTAAGGAAAGTATAATTTCTTTTTAAAGCCCATATATGTCTGTAACAACTAGAACCATAGCAACTCCGTTCAAAATTTAGCTTCTGTACAGCCTATGATCATGAAGGTAACTATGAAGGGTTAAAAAAAATAAATAATAAACCCATGCACAAGTGAAAAGCAAGCAGAGAGAAAACGCAGAATGGGAGACTAAGAAAGCAATTAAGCTGAAAATATTTTACTGCCACCTTGTAGGAAGAATATTGCTTTCTCACTAATTTTGTTCTACTCAAAAAATAATTGATTCCTTACTAGCATAAAATTGATACTATGATTTAGAATGGAAATCACATGCTATTATAGGCACTTTTTAAGTTGATTTATTCTTTTCAAATGATTGTCATGAAATTAAATTTCCCGTTTTTCTTTGTCTACTTATTCCTGTCTCTTGCACTTGGAGATTTGCATGAAAATAAAAGAGCTGGAAAAAAATCTCAGCTGAAGACTGTAGCAACTCGAGAACTTACATGGATTCATGTCAATCATCAGGGAGACATGGATATATGGATATGTAATGGTATAAACATGTAATTGGACCAAACATCTGTATTTTGCAAAGATCTCATTTTGCAGGCTGTTAGCTCTCCATGCGCAAGCTATCACAGCTGTGAGATACCAACTCAAAACCATGCACATGATTGTTTCAAATGAACATCCTGGGAGCTATGCAGCTAATTCCTTGCTACTCATTTTTAGCTACTCCTGGAAGAGAGTAAAAATAAGCCCTGAAAATCTTTTAGACAATTTTTGCTAGCACAACTTTAACATGCATTTTCTTCTCAGATAAAATAGATTGCTCCATAAAGAATAGATAATAAAAATTCCCTTGGGAGCAAAGTAAGGCAATCTATCAGCTACCTTGGAAAAATCCTCACATAGAGATACAAAGTATTTTTATCTATATAATGTAAACATAAACAGCATGAACCCCTGACCAGAATCAAGCCACTTTATTAATAAATTCTGTAAAAACAAAGATAGTAGATTATTTCCTTTCTCATCTAATCTATGGAGGATTCCTTAATTTATCCCATTAATTTATACAATCCTGATAACTGCAAAGCTTTCTTAATTTTACAAAAGTATTTTGGCTTGGGATTCACCATTTGATGCAAACTACAGGAAGACGGAAGCTCTATCTCTCTTATCTCCATTTTAAAGTCACATATTATAGTGTGCTTTATAAAGGAATTTACATCACTATGAGCATTTGGTATCTAAGTAGAAATGCTTCATTTGTTATAGGACAAAAGAGATCTGTGGTGAAGACTGTTGCCTGATACTAACCTCAGGACTTTTTATTATCTTGTCATAACTCTCTAGAATATACACATTAGCTTCTGATGAACATTTCAAACAAAATTCCACTTCAATGAACACAAAAAGATGAGCAATCTGTTTATCTGCAAGAATGGTTGGCAAGTTCTAGAGCACTGCTCATGAGGTTTTCAATGGATTTACACTTTTAAACATGGAGGAGGTAGCAGTCATGACCTGATAAAATGGTATGAAATACAAGTTTCAGACTTCGTAATAAGATATTCATGACAGGCACCTTCATTCATTTCTGGTATCTACTGCTGCTCTTCTGATACAATCATAGAACTGATCAGTTATAAGAGAGCATCTGCACCAAGATGTCTTGAATATCTAACTCTCCTGCTTTAGAAGAAAATGAAAATGCTTACCAGTCCCCATGCCAGACAGCCCTTTTTCCATTAACTAGAAAACCAAGGTCAGGAGCTGACCTTTCAGAACTAGTTTGTAATCCTAATCCTACTGGTGTTATGTTGGCTGAGTTAAAGTTTTCGAGAACGAACAAGAAGTAATGTATGACCAATGTCTCTGAGGAAGTCTACTATGTTTCAGCTGTGTACCTCTTTGATTTCTTTTGTATGCTTTTAAGTGAACCTAATTGATTCCATGATTGAATGTCTTAACATACATTGATGCCAGATACACAAAAGAATCTATACGTTTTCCAATGGGAATTTTATGTGTGTTCTGTTCTGATTTTGAGTATTCTGTATCTCCAAGAAATCAACTGATTACATTTTATGATTAGCCTTTAGAACAAATGATAGTAATAAATGATAAAACTTTCATTTGAGTAGTGATAGAATTTTCTAGTCAAAACGGGTCTTAATTCTCAACAGCTTTGAGTTGAAAGGGGCCATGTTCATTTATGACTCTTCTGCTGCTCACCGCTCAGAAGTTGCCTATGATTATTAGAGATGCAGTTTAGAGTCCTTAGCATCATTTATGTTGATTAAGAAAAAGTTAGGAGCTCCTTTTATTATACTTTTTGTAGTATAATAATGATACCAGAAAAGAACTATTATTTATTGTTCACTTGCATTTCTATTTTAAAGATCATCTTTGATCAAACCTTAGGACTATTAGAATAAATTACCACTGAAATAAAAAACAAAACCAGTCCAGGTAGTTTTTGATACCATTTCTTTCTGTCTTGAAAGGTTGAATGTTTGAAATTTCTCAAGTAGATTGAAAATGAAATATAGACATTAATCTACTGAGACTCTTTGGTAACACCTGTACTAATACACAGTGTATTAAACTCACAAGTGATTGTACTTAAGTGCCCAAAGATGAGTATAAACAGAGCTCTGATTGGCCAATCTACTATCCTTTCAGAAGAGCCATTCTCTTCTTGTTAGTCACAAAACAATTAACATCATCAAAGCTCTAAGTGGAAAGGTAAGACTTAACATATGAATAGATCATATGCATATGCTAATAAGGTTGCAAAATCTTTCCCTTTTTTTTTTTTTTTTTTTTTTTTTGGAAAATGTATTGCTGGAAGTCAGTCTAGAGCAAAGATGCTAAAACATAGAAATTTGATATGACTCTGTCCTGCACTGAGACATCCTTCAAGGAACAGGGCTAGGTCTAAGAATCCTTGTTGCCACAGAAGGTAAACAATTCACCTCCTTGTAGGTAAACCTCCTGGGTAGTCTTTATCTACAGAGGTACCCAAACAGGGATTGTATATATCCCAGGAGATACCCAACCCAATCTTCTATGATGAGTGAAGGATTTTGAAATAGATATTGTTGTTAGAATAGAGCATTAGTAAGTGTTAGTATAAGTTTGGGGCTCTTAATAGAACACAAATGAAACTCTCCGCCAAAGAAAGGATATAAGACACACAGAAGGTAAAAACTGAAAAAGTAGGCCACACCAGCTCATTTAAACTATTATGGACTATAGTCTTATGACATCAGCTTCTCCATTAGCCTACTGCTGATGAAAACAGCCAACAGCCACCCTTGCTCATGCCTTTTGCAAGGACAGTGACACACTCACTGTTTCTGAAGTAAGTGCTGGTGCTGTTGCTGCTGCTGCTGCCTGTAAGTTTCGATAGTGTGCTGAGGAAGATACTGCATGAGCTCCAGGGACTCCTTGATCTTCAACAACATTTCATAAGTCTCACGACCCCTCACCTACAGAAAAGCCAGAAAATGGGGAAGGTCAAGAGCTGCAGGTCAGGCAAAAGTCAGCCAACTCTCATTATTTGTAGATTATGTATTGGTAAATGCACCTTTACCAATACGTATTTGTACCATGAATATCAAATCAGATGGTACTTGTCAGTCATAGACACACAGGGACAGAGGAACAGAATCATCTGCACATATTCCCAGCTGAAGGTGAAGGAGAGGCTATGATCCTGTATCAGCTTTCATGCTGTGAACTAATGTTCTTTTCCCAGTCTACTTATGGCCATATAGCTCACAATTTTTTGTTTTCTCTTGATGACTTTGTTATTTAAAATGAACTCCAAACTGAACTGCTGCTTATTCTCCTTGAGAGCTTGTTTGGAGGTTCTAGCAGGAAAGTGTTAGCTACCCAGTATATCCTTGACCGAAGACTGGTCCTCTTCTATTTGGGGAAGGTTGTCCTCTTCAAAAGAGTGTGCAATGGGAGGGATGCACATGGAGCCATGAGGGAGGAAGGGGACACCCATCTAGCCAGCTAGATCAGCCAGATCACCCCAAATCAATGGGGTGACAGATGTCACAGCCAGATTTCCCCCACATCCACATCTTACTGTTCTTAATTGTAAAAAGGCCATAAGAAGAACATGCATATATTTGATAAACCTTGTCCAGGTGTGAGCTACCCATACTATTGACTGTGAGTTCAGTGTGGATGAGATGACAACATATATTAAACGGGACACCTTTAAATAGAATCAAGTATAATACAAGGCTGTCCACTGATCTATTGAAATGCTGGAGATTCATAGGAAGCCAGTACTACATTTCAGTTTCAGCTTCAACTTTAAAAAATGTAACAACCATGAAAGATAAGCCATTTTTGGAATGATGAATGCTTTCAGGAGGAATAAAGTGTGCTTCTCTTTTTAAGATGGCTTCTTCAAAGCTTTAAAAATGAAGCAAAGGATGGACTAGAATAAAGCCAGCAGCCTACTTGGAGAACTTCTGGGGATCTGGGAGTGAGTGTCAATGCATTCTACACCTTATCTGCCTCATCCAATCTGAGCACAAGAGACAGATGTGCCAGTTTCCCCTCTGGTGTTATTAGCCTGCTCTTTTCTCTTTTCTCCAAGATGACCACCATGACTTTAGGGCTGTTTTTCTCCACATTTGTTCCTTTACTTGTGCTTCCTCAGCCTTGTTCTACTAAGTAGTTCATTAAAGTCTATGTGCTTAGAAGAAGGTCAATGTTTTGAAGGTAAATGTTCATACTTCCTTCTAATTGCTTGGGATCCAGCCTATTAGTCACTCAACATGAATTGATTTCATTGTTTTATTCATCCCATAAACTTGATTTTCTCTGACTTTTCATTGCTTTTAGATACAATTCATCGCAGGGATTTCCATGGACTATTAATATAGTATACCAGGTTTAATGCTTTACCTATAGGTAAAACAGGTGTAATGTTCTATACTTTCTATATGTAGCTTTAGAAGCAAGAATGGGAACTTCAGCCAACTGCCTGTCAGGTTTTCCTGAGATAAAGGAGTAGGAAGCCTTGGAAAGGAGGCATGAACACCTGAACCTGTTGAGCAGCTTAAGCTCCAATTCCAGGGCAATAGCTCCTGGCACTGCCATCTGTATCATCTTGGATGGCATTAAGGTTGAACTGTTCACCAATATTTTACAAAGTTTACAAAGAACAGTAACAGTCATTGCAAATGGTGAAGACCTGGGGTAGTAAGAACTCAATGACAACTAACCATAACCTAACAAAGAGACCACTTTAGTGACCCCATAAAAGTGATGGATAGTCTTACATAAGAACTGGGTCAAGCCTTCTGGCTCTTCACATGTGACTGTGGCTTCTGCCTTGCTTGACTTTGTTTATAACATTCCCTAAAAGAAAACAAATATTCCTACACATAGAAATGTTTAGAGAAATGGGCATGGGAATTTGCTGTGAGTTGACTGTTATATATTATAGACATGTATCTAATGACCCCAGTGTACCCTGAGAGACAGCTAATTGCTACATTACCAACTCTGTGAAGTATTTATGACAAAAATTCAGGAATGTCAATGTTGTGTCAAAGAGTGCTATCACTCACATATAATGGCATTAACTTTAAATATTTGATTGAAAATATCTTCTTATGAGGTAGTAGAAGAGCTCATAGTAATTAATATATTCTAAGGGAAAGGATAGCTTCATGATTTAAAGAGAAAAATGTCATTGCTTTACTTTATGCATGCTTCTGCCACACTGACTAAATATGTTTTCCTTTTCTACATTTCATATTTAACTCCTAAATTCCAAAGTGTTGGTATCAGGAGATTGAGCCTTTGGCATGCTATTTAGGTTGTGAAGGTCGAGACTTGGTGGAAGTCATTAGTCTCCCTATAACTGATTGCTCAGACAGCTATCTAGTTTTCTATCCTTTGAAAGAGAATATGCAGAAGATGGCAGCATCTCAGAAGGGGGCCCTCCCCAGAACCTGACAAAGGGCAACTTGACTTTGGACTTCCAATCTTCAGCACTGGGAGAAATCTATGGCTGTTTTTCACAAGCTACACCACCCAAGTCACTTAGCTGTTCGAGCTCCAGCTGAATGAGGGTTCTTTCCCTCATGCCCCAGGTAACTGGGTGATGACTATCTAATAAATGCATATTCAAGGAGGGCTAAATGAAGCAACCATGAAGGGTGACTCACTGGTAAGTACAGCAGTTCATCATCTGGGGATCTTCGTTTCTTGATGGAAGTCATCTGGATGCCATGTGTATTCTGCCGAAAAGCTGGAGGAAGAAATATACAAGTTTCATTCTGAGAAGTTACCGAAGCAATGATGCACTGAATCAGATGTCTAAGGATATGTACAAAACAGAAAGAGGCTAGCAACCTGGGAGATGAAGATGTTTGTCCTCAGTACCCATCTAATTGATGCTAGCTGCCTTTACATAAAGTAAGAAGGTGAGAGTGAGATAGAAAAGGCAATAAAAAAGGCAAACCCAGGATGCTGGGGTGGGTGTGCATCCTGAATATGTGCTGCCTACAGATGTCTCTGGAAGGCTGTTAAGAAAAAGAAAGAGTAGTTTTCATTTTTTGCTTTAAAACTTTTTGTGTGTGTGTGTGTTTCAGATCATACATTGTCTAAAGAGTTAAGTGCATGGCACAGGAACTGTGTTGATAAGAGTAAAATAGGGGGATTAACAAATGGTAAATCACTAAGCATTTTAAATTAGAATATCTGATCGATCATTCAAGATCCAGGGTATGAAAATGATCTTTCCACCACAATCCAGATATTTGTTCTTACTATAAACCACCAGATTGTTGGTAATTAGAGTACCCAAGATAGACTGCATCATTGCTCCATGTTAGCTGCAGATACAGGAGTGAACTCAGAATGGGGATATGTAGATATGGCTCATTTAAGTTATTTGAGGAATTATCAAGAGGACCAAGAGAACCTAACAGAAAAGTATATCACATTCAATAGTTGGAAGCCAGTGGTGATAGGTTCTCCTGTAAAGAACAATTCAATTTTTAATTCATCTGAATACTAATAGGTAGTAAGAGTAAGCCCTTTTCATAAAAGAAGGTACTGTGATATACTTCAAAATACCTGTTGAAGAGTAGGCATGGCTGTTTATGCCTGGAATTACAGAATACAGACTACTGAAGGGGGATGTGGGTTCAAAGCTAATCTCGCACACATAGAGATTTCCATGTCAGGCTGTGGCACCCAGAGTGGAATCTTTTCTTCAAGAAACCCAAACTAACTTGCTGAGCTGCCACTGGCATGACATTTATGCAAAGTGCTTTCTAGAAAAATATTTCTCTACAAGCCAGCAGCACATGTGGGACAATGGCCTGCAGATGCTTTCGGCTGGCCTTCAGGACTCCATGGAGGTGACTGAGGTGGAAGCATTCACCACAGATCACATGGACACTATCCAACATTTTGTGTACAGGTCTTGAAATGTCCCATAAAAAAAGATAAAATCAACTATAATCCACATTTAATAACAAGTGTTAAGGCAGCTGAGGCCTCATTCTGGTCAATATGTGAAGTCAAGCCTCAGGACAAGCACACCTGCACATCCTTGGACTGTGCCTAAGGAAACACAATCTCAAATAGCACTGTTCTGTAGAGCCCGGAGGAGAACAGGTACCACTAAAGCCCCATGCTTAATAGCTGAAAGATAAGTGGACACCTGGAGCTTTAGGTGACATTCGACCCTAAGTGGAGGGCTTACAAAACACAGATTGCTGGGCTGTTGGAAACAGTGAGTCCAGAGCCTGAGAATATTCCCAGTTTCCAGCTGACGTTGATGCTGTTGGTGTGGAAATCAGATTCTGAGTAATCTAATACTGAGATCGCCTACCAACAACTGTAGTTAAAGCAAGCTGTAGTGTGTTCTAGTTCAGTTCCCCAACTTGTACTAGCCATATTCCTCTCAGGTCACACTCACTGCTAAACCTCACAGTTTTCCTCATAGAGCCTTCTTAATATTATCTCAATAGTGCTACATCTGGAGGAGACTTGACCCTGCCCCATCTGGCCACTACATCTACTTACGGCGCTTCGTACCATCACCGTTCTTTGCGCTGTCCGAGACTTGCTGCTTTCTGATGCTGTCTTCATCTGCCTTCCTGTCTCTTCCTGGGCAAGCACAGATCCGGGCCTCAAAGCACCGCCGGCCCAAGACTTGCCCACTAGAAATAAGAGAAGAATAGCCGGTTAAAGTCACAAATATCAAAGTCCCCTGGAGTCCCCCCCACTATCTTCCCTCTGGTGTTGGCCATCATATGTGTACCCTCACCATAATCCTTCCATATGGCTGGTTGCTCTTAGCAAGCATCCAAAGCACCTGGCAGACTACAGAACTGCGTGTGTGCCACAGTAATATGAATAAAGAACATTCCATTTGTTCTATAAAGACCCTCTGAGCCATTAGCTGAACAGCTGTATTTAGCTACATATTTTGAAGGAAACTTGAGTTAAGCCAGGGGATGTCCCTGGATACAATCCCCTCAGGCAGCTCAGACTTATCAAGGAAACTGGTAAATGCCTTGGGGGCCACATGATAACAAACACTATCAGAAACAATTCCAGTCAAAAGTCAAGAATTCAGGTCTGAAGTGACTTGCATGCCCCCTTGGCTCTTTCTCCCCCTTCCCCGACCCACCCTTCTCTGCCTCGACTTTCTCAGATCTGTTAGTGTTGACAGTGGATTTATAGCACAAAGCACCAAATCTGGGGCTTCTCACAGGCTTCTGTCTGGGATTGTTTGTGAGGCTACATGGTTCCACACATGCCACTTACTCTCTGGTTTCCAAAGTAACAATGATTAAAATTGGACGGCGGTTCATTCCTCCGACACAGCTGCTGTTACACATGAAATTGTACAGGACTGTTGTGAATTCAGTGCCAACCTGAGCAGGAGAAAAAAGAAACATATATGTCCATACGCAATGCAACTTGTGCAGATGATGGCGTGAATTGATGCTTTTGTGTCTCAGCTCGGCCCTCTCTTGAAAGAACTGTTTCTAGAGGCATATTTCCTTCCAGGAAAGGATTGTACAATCCACTGGAGAGCCACTTTTGTCTTCCTTTTAAGAGACCTTCACACTAATGTTCCCAACACTGAACAACATGGACAAGATGGCTTATACTGGATCATTGCTTTTTGACCCTACTCTTTTGCAGGGTCAAATTACTGATTCAAATTACTCTCTTCACTCTACATCACATCGATATCTCTGGGAAAGGAGAGATTTTTAACAAAGTGACCAAAATAGTAGCAATGCTCCAAGTGTATTTTGCTTTTGAAGATAAAAACAATATTACATAGGTTTGAATGTACATCTTCATGAAGAATATCCTTGTGCTAAAATGCCCTCAGAATTAAATCACCTAAACTGTTTAACTATGCATAAGGCAAGTCAAACCTACAGTTACATAGCATAAGAGTGACATTCCCAAGAGCCCAGAGTTTGCCAGTCAACCCCAGCATACTGGCTCTGTTACTCCTGTAGTCTTGTTACTACTGTGTATTTTCTACCCCTCTATTTCTGCTTCACATAACACATTCACAAATGTACCATCTATTCAGGGAAACTTCACCTAAACAATGCATTTCAGCTTTATCCATTTATAATCTACTATAAAAAATACATCTAGCATTTGTTTCCACTATCAATCCCCTGCCATCTAGTTAAGACTGTGTATAAAACCAGCTTCCAAGCTGCGAGGTGGGCAGCATGGGTAGAGCCCCATTACCAAGGAAGTTCAGTGCACACTCATGATCTTAAAGAGACATATTCATTTTTATTTTATGCCTTCTGCCTGTGTGCAGTGTGTGCATCATGTGTGTCTGGCCAGAGAGGATATTCGATCCCCTGGAACCTGAGTTACTGGCACATGTGAGGAACCATGTGTGTGTTTGACAGGGAAGGGGCTGGACACTGAACCAGCCAGGGTCCTTTGGAAAAGCAGCAAGTACTCTTAACAGTTGAGCCTTCTCTCTCGCCACACGTTTAGGACTTTTTTTTTTTTTTTTTTTTTTTTTTTTGAAGGGGTGATGTGAGAACCAGAGACATTGAAAGAATGTTTTGGAAGTACTTGGTGACAAGGGTGAACCTGGTGATAATGTTAGGTCCCGCATGTTACCAAACATGTGTTATTTCTTCTGCCCTGCTAGCCCGGCTGCAGGCCTGTCCCTGCCTTATTTGCTTGTTTACCTGGGGTGGCTCATAAGGGACCAGCACACTCTGCCTCCCTGTGATAGGATCTTCTACATACTGGGCATGGCTGTTCCCTTCTACTCGGATCAAATGACTGGGAGGGGCAATCTGTCCTGTAAGTCAGAAAAAAAGACAAAATAGTTAGTTTATGTACCCAAATAATGAAGGCTGTGAAATGAAATGGCATGGAAAGAATGATGGCAACGGCCAAAAGAAATCCTCTGTGTCATAAAGGAAACACAGACCCTCAAGCAAAGGACACACCTTGATGTAGGTGTCTAACATGGATGACATCTAACACTTAACAGCAACATGAAGAGCTTTACGATGATCAATGTCTAGGGGACAGTTCTACGTTCCTCAACTTCAGGTTAACTATCCAAGCTCTTCCACACATCACTGACTTCATTCATTGCACAGAATTTACCTGCTTTCCTTGGGAAATGGAAAACAAACAAGCCAGCAAAAAAGTACAGCCTAAGATTTTAACAGGAAAAAAAAAAAAAAAAAAAAAAAAAAAAAAAAACCTAAATGAGAAGAAGAAATTAGCTGAGGATATGAGGATATAAGTCCATTAAGGGACACATGCTTACCACGTGCAAGCCCCAATGCTGAAAACAACACAAGCCAAATACTAGAAGGTGGTAAGCACTGTAGATCTTAATTTTTTTTCTCCTATCCATTTTTAGACCTGGCTTTAATTATAAAGATGAGAAACTTTCTGGCTTTACTTTGTTGAAAGAGGCCCAGGTTGGAGACAAGAAAAGGGAGCAGGTTTACAAAGAGCCTAAGAAAATCATAAAATTGTGATGTTTGGCAGTGCTCCGAAAGAAAATGTTCTGAAACTTAGGAACCATAAAGGCATCTTTAACCTTGGGGTATGAAGTTCCAGTCTACAAGAACTATTCAATAAAAGGGAAAAGCTAAGAATATCAACATATTCTGTGCAGCACTGGTTATTTTGACTAAAACAATATTATGTTCAAAATTAAGGAAACTTCAAAAATATTGTCGTTTTGATGGAACAAAGACCTTTTGGCAAACTGAGGGTGAACCTGCACATATAGGATAATTTTTTTATGATATATTGTTAAGCACAAAGCAAGACACAAAGATATGAATAATGCGGTCATATAGACAAAACTAGAAATTATTGTATAAAAATCAGTCTGGGAAAGTTAGCCATATTTTCTCCCTCTTTTTTGCTTCCATGAATTTTTTATGCGATTCATCTGTGCCCTATGCTCATACATTTCAACTACCTCCCATCTACACTTGCAGTATTTTCTGTGAAATGTTCTAAACCCCAACCCTTCCTGCACTTCCAACCCCCTGTGGATTCCTTTCTACTTCTGGTACCTTTTCTTTTATTTCCCTTCATGGAACTATAATGCCATGTGGTTCTATGTGAACCTGTGGGAACACTCACCTCTTCTATAATACTGTTGTTAGATTTGGGGCCCAGAAGATGGGTATACATCATACATGGGCACAGAACTGAAAGGGGGTCCCCAGGATCCCTTCTGGACACCTCTGGACACCTCTGGACACCGTCTTTCCACTATCTACTTATTGAGTATCTTTTATTTATTACCCTTTATCTTCCCTCTCAAGTTTTATTCTTCCTTCTCCTTTTACTCTTTCATTTGTTCATTATATCAGTTCTTTTACGCTCCTTCTCCTAGCAGTCCCTGCCTTCAACTTTTCTAAACTTGAAATATCACTCTGGGAAAGGCACCCAAGGCAAAGCATATGATAGCCACAACTACCACTGTGCTATTCTGTTCATATCCTCTCATTTGGAAAAATAAATTAGGTAGTTCAATTACTGTGAAAGCCACAAATTCATTTATCAGTATTCTTAGTCTGAAGTAGGACCCAGCATCTTCACCATCAAGGAGCTTGATCGGACAGCAGAGAATCTCAGAACCCTGCCCTTCTTACCCTCATTGAACTCGCGGCTCAGCTCATGGTTGGGACACCGTTTCACCACCTCAGTGACATGTTCAGCTTTCTTGTAGACAGGCATGGCACGGATGACAGCCCCCTGTGGGGGTGGGGTCATCACCTTGATCTGGATGGGGCATGTCTTTGCAATTTGGCAGTACAGCTTCTTCAATTCCGTGGAATACTGCTTAGAGAAGAGAGGGGCCCACCGACGGAAGGCAGAGAAAACCAGTATGAGATGTTACTCCAAATCAGAACCATCACACCACAGCTACTTGTGAAATTCTTTTCTATCCTCATGTTAAGCTCTGGCTACTGCAAGTGTGGTGTGTGACAACTATATCACAAGAAGCTATATTTAATCAGCATCAATAATTAAATTGATAATTTTTGCTACTTTAAATAAAATTTTGTTTCCAAAACATAGTGCATTTATACTATTATTTCCTTAGTGCTCTCTCCCCCCCCCCCCCCCCTCTCTCTCTCTCTCTCTCTCTCTCTCTCTCTCTCTCTGGTGTTTTTTGTCCCTTTCTTTAAACAAGGTCTCACTATATAGCACTAGCTGGCTATGTTGGAACTCACAGAGATTTGCCTGTCTCTGACTCCCAAGGGATGGACATAAAGGCCTATACCACAATGCCTGGCCTTACCCCCTATCTTTAGGTTGAGGAAATTGAAGCTCACAAGGGTTTAAAAAGTAATATGACTTTTTCAGAAGGCCCAAGGTATTGGCAATTGGGAGAGTCTTATTTTCTTTAAGAGTGTGGGCTTTGGTAGGTGGGCCCAACTCCAGAGTATGTGGGCTATGCAAATTGAGACTGCATGGGTTTGAAATGGAGAGAGAGAAGGCTCAGGAAGTTGAGGGAGTAGGGAGGAGGGGACAGATCTAGGAGGAATTGCGGAGCACAAGCAAATATGATTAAAACAGTATATAAAATTCTAGGATAAAATATTAAACATAATAACATGAATAACTTCACGGGTTACCAGAGATAAAAAGGAAACAACGTTTTATGCTTTATGGTGGGTAGATTACAATTTACCTTGTCCTTGTAAGAAATTCATAGAAATTCCAGTATGTGGAATTTATTTTTAAGATGGTGTGGCAATACTGAAGAGATTTTCTGTTATCCATAGCTAAAACACTACTCTAGAAGAGCGACCCCCACCCCGAGTTCTTTCCTTATTGTCTGGTTCTGCAGTGAGAGAGGCCACACACAGAAGCAAGCAGAAAGCATTTGGGCCTCTCACCCAAATGGACAACCCAATAGGAAGCAGCTCGTCACTGCTCCAGAGGGAGCCCAAACAGCCATGCAGATCTGTCCAGTAACAAGTGAGTACTAATTTTTCTTTAGGGAGAGTATGTTCCCTGGTGATGAGCTGGCTCCAAAGTGGCAAAATCTGGTTTAAAATGCTGAAGACTTATAGGAACAAAGTCTTACCTGCCTTGCTTCCTCTCGCTACCTTTGAATCCGAGTAGGAAGTGTTCTTTCTAATCCTAACTCCATGCTAAACCTTGTCACCCCAGCTCCCTGGGTCAGTGCCTCATCTTTGCATTCCTGCTCACTCCAGTGCTGAGGTAGAACCACCCAGGCACTAGAAATCCTGGCCAAGAGTGGGCACCTAGTAACACCCATCCAAACAGAGGGTAAACAACGAAGGTGGCAGGCCTACACTGGCACCACCCTCCTCCCTGGGAGAAGGGACAGGATAGGAGCCACAATGACAAAGAGACGCATATTTAAATATGACCCACCACATATATGACTAAAGGACAACACCTACTAAAAAGAGAGGGAGAGAAAAAATTACATTTAAACTGGTTTTATCGCTTCCTTTTGAAAAAGGAGCACTTATTTAAATAATACCTCATTTTCTTCCAAGGAACTCAGTATAGGAAACTTTCAGCTAAAATTTCCTAGTGCTAGAAGGGTGTTGCACAATCAGTCCTCCATGCCCACAGGCCAAGGATTAAACACAGTCAAAAGGCTAATTAGACAGCTTGAAGAAAAGAAAGCACACCAAAATTCAGACACAGAACTAAGTTTCTTCTTCAAAAATACTGAAAGAAATGTTGATGAATATTTTTTGCTCTTGTGTTCTCAAATTCTTTACCTTTATTTCACATGAATTGGTGTTTTACCTGCATGTATGTCTGTGTAAGGGTGTTGGATTCCCTGGCACTGGAGTTAGAGACAGCTGTGAAATGCAATGTGGGGCTGGGAATTGAATATGGGTTCTCTGGAAGAAACCTTAACTGCTGAGCTATCTTTCCAGCCCCAGTGCCCCCTCCCCCTTGGTTTTTTGAGACAGGGTTTTTCTGAGTATCTTTGGAGCTTGTCCTGGCACTTAACTCTGTAGACTAGGCTGTCCTCTAACTCATGAAGATTCACCTGCCTCTGCCTCCTGAGCGCTGGGATTAAAGGTCTGTGCCGCCACCACCACCTGGCTCGCTCTTGTGTTCTTAAATGATGACTTTACAGAAATGTCATTTTAGGGCATATTAAACTGATTTCCATGGAAAGTTCCAAACATATCAGCATCTCTATTTGTGTTTTAGTTGTAAGAAATACTTTATATAATCCTTCCTTGCATTTCTGAAAATAAAATGAACCTTAGGACACATGACTAAAAGATCAGTCCATGGGCTAAAAATTGAAGGCAACCAAGGTCTCCCTGTAAACAGAGAAGGAATGTAAGATAGAGTAAGGACAGGTCCCTAAGAGTGACAATTCACTGTAGTAATTAATATACTATAAATGGAGATACAAAGACTAAAATGACCAGAAATTTCTAAGAAAAAATATAGGGGCTGGTGGACATGTCAATTGACACAGTGCTTGCCTAGTTTAACTCTGTAGCACCATAGAAACTGGAAGTCATCCTTGACTACACAGTGAGTTTGAGGGAGCCTGGGATATATGAAACAATTGTTTCACAAAAGGAAAAGACTAATTTGAGGCGTCATCAAGCACAGACCCTTATTCATCCTCAGAGACGTAGGTGGGCAATCTAGCTTCTGACTTTAAATAATGGATGCTGTTATTACAAAGAGAATCTTCTCTCAAAACTATGAGGAAGGGATTACAGGTCCCCAGTCCCTTATCGGAACCCCTGGGGCCATAGGATTCAGTATCCGGAGTTGTTTGGATATTACAAAGGGAAGAAAGTTCATGAAGCCTTTATCATGAACACCAGCCACAAGGAATGAAGCCTGTGCTCCACGACCAATGCCTGCACTTCTGGAAAACCTACAAACTTTCACACTGACCAGGGAATGACTTCCAAGTCTCCTAGTTTGGGTTGGATTTCACCAACAGATTACTGGTGCCCCAGACATAGGAAGCCAAAAGAACAGAGTGCTTGATTTTTATTGCTCTTTGAGTTTAGAAGTGCAGATAACAGATAATGGACCTCTATTATTATCATCATCATCTGTTTCATAGATAAGAAAATGAAGGCACTGTGAGGACTTGCCTGAGGATACACAGATGCTGCATAGCTCCACGTCCTGTTCTCACCCTTTGACAGCAGCTCATCTTTCTATTCTCCTGTGAGGGGACACATTTGTATTTTGTACGTTCCTAACTTATGGCATGAGGGCCCTTCTGAAGGAACTTCAAATGTGTACCATCTTCAGCAGCATTAACATGAAGCTCCAAAGCGCCTTTCAGAGACTGCCTTTCATTTTCATTGACTGTTGTACAAAGAAAGCAAGTTACACTTTTGAAAAAAAAAAAAAAAAAAAAAAAACACTGGGCTAGGAGGAAGGGGCTACCTAGGCTTCCTGTGAGGACTTTTGGCCTGTATGGCTCTGCGGAATGCAAGGGAAAGCAAGAAATTGCCTTCTAACACAGCTTGATAAACAAAGACTCCCCCTAGAGTCTTTGTATTCTGACTTGCCTACCTGAGTCTCACCATCCAAAGCCTGTCTCTTCCCTCCACACTTTCTCAGCCTGCCTTCTACTAATGCCAACTTGTCCCCTCGTCTATTTATTTATTTTTGTATGTTTGAGTGTGTTTTGACTGTATGGGTGTACCATGCTTGTGTCTGGTTCCTGAAGAAATCAGAAGAGGCCCTTGGTTTCTGGTGTTTGTGAGCCACCATGTAGGTCCTGGGAACTAAAATCAAGGCCCTCTGCAAGAGCAACATGTCACCTTAACCACCAAGCCACCAAGCCAGTTCTTCAACCTCCAAGATGAACTTTTCAATGCAAACTCTTTAAAGGCATCATCCATCCATCCCCACAATTCTGCTCTCCATCTTATATACTCTGGTTTTCCCTTTGGTCCCTATATCACACCAGAGTAATTTAGAAATCACTAGATAGTTCTGCATCTGGGATGGTGCCTTTCCAAATTCTCCAATGCTGCTATTTCCTATTCGACTAAATCAAAATATCTGACCTGGACCAACCTTATTGCTTCTGGTTCAATGACCAGTCCTGCAACATGGGAACTAGAGGAATGAAGTGGCCTGGCAGGGCCCTTCTTTGTAAATTCATGTCTCCATCCCCATTTCCTTCAGTTTTGGCAAATTAATTCTAGTATGACACTATGATTTTTCATATGACTTTCCAGTTTTCAATGCAGTCTTTCTAGTGTATCATGTATTAATAATTTCTCAGACTTGGCCACATCTTTTATCCCTTACCAAATAGCCTTGTCATGTTTTCTAGTTATCCAGGTTTATATAAGATAGCAAAAATGGGAAGCTGGATTTATGGCAACATTTTTATAGACCCCAGTGATCCACATCAGCCAAGACTGCAAATTTGAACACATACGATGTTTCAATATGATTCCTTGTTACTGAGATTTCCAAAGTTCATCTCCAACTTCTTCTTCAACTCTGGCTGGAGGTTTTTGAACTTAAAGCCTAATTTATACTTTAAAACTTTCCCCTGCATGTAGGTCTCTTTTGTTTCGATCAGCTTTGCTGATGTATACTTTTCTGTAAATGACTGCAGTTTTTTAAGGGTTTTAAGTTGGTGACTTTTGAGAAAAGGTACAGAGTTGCATAATCACAGGCACATTCCAGATGGAGAACAGTTTCAATCTCTTCCCAAAGAGATTTGGCCTGTTATTAGCCCTCCCTAAACTCTGGCCACAAGCAATTGTCTGCTTGCTATTTGCTCAGTATACTTTCACCTTTGTGGAATTTCATATAAATGCATAGATACA